TATTATTATTATTATTATTATTATTATTATTATTGTAATGTAATTATTAATAATTATTATCATTGAGTGAAGTTTAAGGCTCCAAATGCACTGGCTTCACGTTTCCCACGTTTTCAACTCTCCGTTTAGGGGAGGGAAAGTTTGAGTTGATTACACAAACGTACCGATTTCACAGTCCTTTCTCCCTTGTGATTAAAAAACAACAACAATGAAATTTTAATTTCTACTTTCCACTCCAACTTCTTTAGCAATGTCTACCAGAGAGTCAAAACATATTATGTGAGTCGAGGTCAGCGGGTTCACTATTATTTTTTAATTGTCTGTATTGCGAAAATGGGCCTAACAGTTAAAATCCCGTACGCTCATAGGTAATTTTCATCGCAGAATCCAAATCTGATGTAAAAAGTACAATTTAATGCAATTAGGGTTAAAATAAATTCCAGCTCTGTACATTCTGACTGTGGTATTTTTAGAATTTCCGCTCATGGACGACAGAATGACGATTTGCAGAGAGCAATTTACTGCAGGGGTAAAATCAAAATCGTGAAGGGCGGGCCGTGAAAGTGAGGGGATTGTGATGTGAAGTCAGTACGACGCCGGGTATAGATTAAAGAAGGCTTCCGTCACATCTGCAAGTTTGGGTGACGGTAACAACGTGAAAGCGTGGGGACTGTGAAGCCAGTGCGTTTGCAGCCTTATGGGGAGTGTTCAAGTTCATACATATCAAGTATCGATGAGCTATTTTCGTACGTTGCAAAATTCACATTTTGAAACAATGGTTACGCGTTTACAATTTGTGTTTATCCTTGTCAGCTGCATTTCGTTCATCCTTTAAAATCTAAAACAAAAACACTAATTTTTCAGAAATCTGTTACTTGAATTCTGCTTCTTAATCTGATTTCTGCATTCGAAAAGGTTATTAAGTCTTTAAACAAAGTTATCCCACCCCTCCCCATTACGTTTACAGGGTGAATATAATATTGAAGTCGAGAGCCACTGGAAGACAGAAAGGAAATTTGAGTTCGGATATCACATAATTTTATGCCGTTGATTAACGGACCCTGGAACCGAATCGTGACTTTTCGCCAAACGCATCAACTTTTACGCATATTAAATATCATCATCATCATCATCATCATCATCATCATCATCATCATCATCATCATCAT